CAGTTTTTAGTATTATGGTGGTTTATGTGTTGGTGTATTCCTGGTAGCTATGTCATTGATATTTCAAAAGAAATATATAACTGGATGTTTCTGTCATCACAGGAGTCTAGAGCAAGGGCTGCATGGTGGAGGGGACCTGGGGGGGGGTTTGTGGAACAATGAAAGAATCTTTTCTTTTACTTTTCCATAATTTTTGACTCATGTACTTATAACTTGTTAGTCAAATTTGTGTCTTCTAGGTTGCAACACCCCCATGATACATCTTCAAGGATATGAACATGTATGGTCAAGCACAATCAATAAGAGTGCATCTAAATTCCAAAATCAATCTCCATAATAGTCTATGTGTTTCCTACTGCCAAAGAGGCCCTTTAGAGTAGTGAGAGAAGATCTTCACCCTGAAACCCACAGCGTCCCTTTTCAGCAGGAAGTAGCTAAGAGAATACGCCATCCCCTTTTCCTTATGACTCAGGGTGAAGTCTCTCTCAGGGAGGAGTGATAGGGAATGGCAAAGGACACACTGACAAAGAAGATTAATCAGAACTGGCTTTGACAAGCACTGTGGCATTTGGACAAGAACAAACTGGGAGGAGGGTAGAGAGAATGGTGCAGCGGTGAATGAATGGAAACCCAAAATCTCTGTAAATGTTTATGAAAATTAATAAAATTATCAAAAAAAAAAGAAGAAAAAAAAAACCAAAAAAAACAAATACTAAAATATAATTACGCTTAAAAAAAAAAATACCAGAAAGGTCACCCACGGCGGACTGGTATCAACCAAACTTCCTGACTAAGACAAACTAAGAAGCAGGACCAGCCATCTACTTCTGAAACAATGGACACTTAAAAACCCTACGATTATTAGTGGAACACTGTCTGATAGTGCTGGAAGACAAAGCTGTCTGGTTGAAAGGCAGGCACTAAGCACAGGAGGGATTGTGAGGATGGTGCAGGATTGGTTTTCTTTGGCTGTAGACACAGTAGCTGAAGCTGACTTGAAGGCATCTAATAACAATAATCTCAAAAAAGAGTGGAGTCTAGAAATACTTCAGGTAATACTCATTTTACTAAGTAGTGGCTAACTTTACTAGTTTTATAGTTAAGCATTTAGCTTAAGACTCACTAAGCCTCAGTTTTCTATTTTGTAAGACAGGGTTAATAATATCTACTTCATGAAATAGTATACGTAAAACACAGTACAGTGACTGGCATCAGTGCTTAATAAAAACTAGTTATTATCTTCATAACTGAGGAACAGATCTGGCCCATTTTGGGTGATCTCACTACATACCTTAATTTTAACATTTCCTTTCCAGCTAAAGAACTTAAGTTCTGGTAAGAAATTTTAATTTAAAAGACAAAAAAATCATTTTAGAAGCTAGTATTTATAAATAATATCAAAGTCAGGAATACTGTATACCATTAGAAAAAGCAGTAAATATTTGGAATTCCTGTGTCAAAGCAGTTCTAAAGCAAGAAGTCATGATTATTATAGTATAAAGATCAGGCCATTTTCTTTCTTATACAGAAAAAACAAACACCCATTCTCAAAATATCTCAAGTTTTCCTCATGAGGAAGTAATTTTGTAACAAAATACCCTATTATCATTGAAAAATACCCTACTATCATATAGGACAGTATGTCATGAACAAGACTATAAAAATGTAGTGGTATGTAAGCCAAGGGAGGAAAAAATCTGGAAAACTGACCAAGTAGAAGTTTTCTTCCTAATTTAGTTATAAGTGAATTTTCACTTTTGTGACTACTTCTTTGATACTCTCATGGATTTGGCAAAAAAGCTTTTAAATACATAGTGTATTTGTCTCTTTAAAAAAATTGAAAATAAACAATTTTGGTAAACAACCATATATAAGAAATTAACTATAACACAAGAAAAGCATAGTATTTTTATATACTTTATCTGGACTTTTGTATTTAAATCTCATAAAGATTTTAAAAAGCATTATGAAAGACAATGAAATCAGAGCAGCCAACTCACAACATCTTATAAAGCCAGTGTCATGAATTCAAAAGACATTTGCTATGAATTTGATGGACAGGGTATGAATTTGGACTTTTTAAAAGACAGTAATTTCATTGCTGTTAAGTTGAAACCAACAAACAGCTAGCCCTCAAGGGGCTTTTGAAGAGGACGTAAATCACACAGAAAGAGACTACACAAATATTTCCAGAGAAGCTGATATATTCAAGTAGTCTTTGTGTTAGCAATGTTGACTACCTATAACATGCACCAAAATGCCCTAATAAGTCTTATAAATTCACAAGGAAAATAGAAAGCAAAAACCAAACATTCCCATTCACCGAAAAATAGTATGACTGAAGAATTGCATAAATCTATGAACTTTATTACTGCACTGGATTTATCTTTGTTAATAAAATATAAGAAAACAGAAAAACTCATTGCCACTGAGATGGTACTGGCTGTAAACCATATAGGAGAAGACTATCCATCGTTCTCCTGAAGAGCATTTGGTGGAGATGAACCACCAGAGAGATGCTGCCTTTGGTTTAGTACCATAATTCCCTATGTACTAACCTATCAAAAACCTCCTCAGCAAACAAAAGAGAGCTTAAGATGTAGATTAAATAGGATATCTTTTTTAAAATAATGCACTAAATCAAATACAAGGAGGTCTGGTGGCACAGAATGTAGGAAGCTGTACTGTGGTCTTAGCCTATCCACAAGGGGAATGGTCAGTCTTGCCACTAAATTGAGCATTCAGTAGCAGATTTTGAGAATCTCACCACCAACAAAGAAGAATAGAGAATTCAATGTACCCTCCATGGTCAGAGATTCTTGTGCCAGGAAGACCTACAGGAAAGCAGCAGCAGCTGGAGCAGAGAACCAGAGATCTGACATGAGACAGAGCTGACCTTGGGACTGCTACCCCTGAGAACCAGATAAGAGCTTTTAGCCAAGCTTACTGAGAACTAGGGTTGGGAGGGAGATCATAACTGATAGGACTAAAAGCTTTGTCATACTGAAGGCTGACGTGCTTGAGAGCACATTTCAGCAGCTGTCCTGATTGAGTGATACTATCCTGCTACCAACCTGAATTATAGCTTTTTGACCTCCCCAACAAACTTCATAATCATGAGTATGCGTCTAGGTACCCAGTGAGCTACTGCAATGAATTTTGGACTCAGCAGAACAGTAAGGTTGTAAGATTGTTGTTAAGTTAGTAGAAAGAGGCTTAGGAACATGGGGGACATGTCTGACCTCATGGGAAGTGGCTTTGTATGGTTGTTGTTGTTGTTGTTAAGTGCCGTCGAGTTGCAGGCCACTCATAGTGACCCTATGAACAAAAGTCCTGGACACCTCCTGTATAACTTTTGTCCTTTCTCCAGGTTCATAGGGTTTCCAGAGGCAAGCTATTGTAGAAGTGGAAGCTGCTCCTGCTTCCAAGCTTGTTTTAATCGGGGAGCTTCACCAAACACTGCCCACTATGGGTATGTATGTGTGTATGGTAGATGATGACGAAGAAGACAGTTCGCCCTTGTGGAGTTGACAGAGGTTAGATATAGCCATCCTCACATGGCTCTTGCTCTTTTTACTGTATGTGATGTCATTTAGAAATGATTTTGGTTAAAAGAAAGTTAAGAGACAGTGATAAATCATAACTTCACATTTCAGAACAGTCTCTGAAGATTGTATTTATACATATATGAAAAAAAATCACCTAAATGAGGCACAAATCAAAGCAACAGAAATGACAATGAGGAGACAAAGGGGTATTTTGACTCAATGATTGAACTTAAAAGGGATCAAATCTTTAAGAAGATATAGATGGATTCCACAAATTGTTCAAGTCTGTAGAAAACAGAAATAGTAACAAATTCCACAAAAAAGAAATATATCTCATCCTGAAGATTCATTTACTGCAACTGTTTCTACATCAGTTAACTATATAGTAGGTCCTAGAAAACACTATTTTTTTTTTAATTTTTTAAAGATGTCTATACCTTTAGAAGGAAAAAGATCAAGCTTGGAAGGATAGAGGAACAGTGTAAGAGAGGTAGATCTGGATGAGATGGATTGACACAATAACTGGGTTAATGAGGGTAGGTATGTCAGAAACAGTGAGACTGGCTCACAATACACGAGGCATCAGAGCTATTGTACATTGGGTCACTATGAGTCATAGTCGACTCAATGGCATACAACAACAACAAAAGGGAAAAATATAGAAAAAAGTATAGATTATTTTACTCATTAAGATATTGTTAAGGAACTCTTAAGCTCTTTTAGCTAACATAAAATTTGAAGTTATACCAAAGTGTAATAGTCAAATATACATCTAAAAATGACCCTGCAATTAAGACAATTGCTGGTACTCAGTGTTGTTTTAAAGTTCTGTAATAAAACAGTCTCTCAGACATTTAATGGTATGTCATTTGGTAAATGAAAGTTCCTGCAAAGTAAGAGGAGCGAGAAGACCTAAAAATTATGTTAGCAGTCTGGCTGAAAGGAATAAAAATACAGATCATGTTGGTCCAACACTAATTTTATTTTAAGTTACTAAAGAGCCAAATAAAATGCTGACAATACCACACAAAAATTTATTGAGTTGGCAACAGGCAGAGCATGATGTCAGCCACCAATATCGCTATTCACATTTCCAAATATCATGAACACTTTAATCCTTGAAAGTAATAAGACTTTGTGGCTACAGTTACTATAAAAATAAAAACTTTAGCCATAGGGCATTATTAAACATATATGAGTTTAGTTTGGCAGAGCTCTGACTCAAAAATTGTCTAACACTTTAACAAGTTCAGTTAAAAACATGGAAAAATGCAAGCTTAAAAATATTATCATTTTTTAAAATAAGTTACATTCTTCACCAAACAGACCAATACAAATAATTTTTTAGGATTACTCATGAAATAGTCAAATAAGCCATAATCCACATACACATAAAATGTAGACAGGAAAAAAGGAATACACACATGTATGTACATCAACACAAGTCCTTACCTTCATGGCATGGATTTCTTCAAGTAATCGTTGTGCCCGCCTTTGGTTTTTTAACAGTGCATCTTCACTGCCCCTACAGGGGGGGAAAAAGTAATGCTTCACCAGGAAAAACATGCATTTTAGAGATTTGTATCCTTTAAGATATCTGTTTCTTTTAAAAAAGTATATTTCTAAGTAACACTGTCAACTTGTAATCTTTCCCCTCCAAAACTGTTCACACATAATTTCATCAACTTAATAAGTGTTTGAAATTGAAAAAAATAAGCATTGTTCAGGTATTATATTAATTATAATAATGTTATTACGAGTAGATGGTTGGTTTCTCTTACTCACTAATAAGAAGGTCAATACGTTTTAGAAAAAAATAATCATATACTATATTTAATTTAATAAAAATTTCATAAGCATCAATTAAAATTTGGATATAATTTTATTAAATGCAATTTTTCTGCAGAATTTAAAGAATTAAGATTAACATCTGATTATAAAATAGAGAAAGAATATTGAAGATTGATGAAATATACTATTTATGGCTATAATAAGAAAAACAAGTTAGAAACAATATTTTTTTAAAACTAATGATACAGAAAATAAAAAACATTATAATTTTCTAATAGTTATATGGACCACATGGTTTTGGTGATAAACACTTTCACAAAGTACATAGAATTCAAAATTAGTTAGAAATTCAAAGAAAAAAGTGATACAATGACTTTTCAATATATTGAATTGGACTTTGCCATGTGAATGGGAAAAATATGAATGAGCATGCTAGCCTATCCACAAAGGGACTAGCTAGTCTCACCAATCCAAAAGGGGATTGGCAAGTCTCACCTTTAAACCGGGTGGATCCAGCAGCATAATAGAGAAACCTCACTATACACAAAGCTTCAGCAACAAGAGAATGTAATGCATCCTTCAAGACCAGAAACTCTTGTACAAGCCAAACTAGCGACTACAGGAGGAACAACCACAAGCAGCTACAGCAGAGAACCAGAGACCTGACAGGAGATGGAGAAGACCCTGGGACTGGAGCTAAGAGACTTTTGCCCAAATTTGTTTGAGGACTCTTGGGGTGGGAGGGAGCCAATAATGGCAGGACTGAAAGCTTTCTAACACTGGCCTAAGCGCTGAGACTCATGGCTGTGAGGCCTGTAAGCATATTTTAGAAGCTGTCCTGACTGTATTTTGTTACTAACCGGAATTATAGGCTTTTGGCTTCCTCAATATGGTTCTGTGTGGTTTGTTAGTTATTGCACTGGATTTTAGACCTAGGAGACATGTCTGACCTCATGGATTGTATTGTTAATGTTGTTGACGAGGACAGTTCTCCTTTGTGAGGTGGGTAAAGGTCAGATATGGTCATTCATATGTAGTCCTTACTCTTTTTATAATCGCCAATTCAAGGTGTTGTAAGACTATCACAATTACATCAACATCTTAAAACAATTTCCAATACTGTAAAACACATAAATAGCTTCAAAGGACTTTCACCTCAAAATAAAGTTTTGAAAATATAGTGAAAGAATCCTAAAATAGTACAGGGAATAAGGTTCAAATGCTAAAACAATGTTGTTGTTATTGTTATGTGCCATCAAGTTGCCTGAGGCTCATTGTGATATTATGTACAATAGCTCTGAAGCCTGCCCTGCCCTGAGCCAGTCTCATTAACTCTGATATACCTACCCTCATCTCACTGACTCTGATAAACCTACCCACAATGCCTTAGTCACTTTGTCAATCCATCTCATCTGGGGTCTTCCTCTCCTCTGCTGTCCCTTCACCCTTCTGAGCATAATGTCCTTCTCCAAGGATCGGTCCCTCCTGGCCACTGTATGTGAGACAGGCCCTCAAAACAGGTTTATGTTGGGGAGGAGGAGGAGGCCTCTGGCTGGGGCACATCGCCTAGCTCCAGATAAGTGCAAGCCTATCTGAACCCATCAGCCCTTAGTACGGGATAGAGAAAGCTCTCCTGTGTTTGGCTGTGTTGGCTTGAGAAAACTAGCCACCCAGGAAGACGACTGCCCCATCTGTTGACCTGGGAGTCATTTGCACTGGGCTGAGGTTCTCCTGTCCAATCCACATACTCCACATCTACAAATCCATCCCATCCTGTCTTCCTGTTTACTCGCCTGTATATTAAGTACACTGTAATCCCCAAAAAAGTTGAGTCGGCTTTCTGAAGCACTCCTGGAGTGGTATGTCTCCATTGTGCTTATTCCTGACAGGCAAATGGACAGTGACAGGTTTATACATTATTTTATCTTACTCAGATGCACTTTATATATCAAGTACAGTAAAGAAAGATTATCATTATTTCTCTAGGTTCCATCTTCCAATTTTGTAAATATCATTTAAGAACAAGTTATAAAATTTTATTATTTATAGAACTATTACTTTAAAGAACTCACTTTTTTGACTTTAGTCTGCCAACACCCCTTACAAGTTTTCGGATAACCAAAACTCGGATTCTCTTCACTTCTTTCCTCATCTTCACAACCTTAGAGAAATAAAGCCAAGATTACAAAGACAATTCAGTAACAAATGTTTCATTTTGAGCCTACTGTTTTAAATATTATTTAAATATTTATTGTTAATATTATTGTTAACCAAATTCTTGCTTAACTCTATTCATAGTTACTAAAGTCATACTTACTCCATAAACAGTGGAGGAATAAATCAATAATTTTAAAATATGTCTGTGAGCTTAAGTGAAACAAATAGTTAAAAATAAGCCAAACAATCAACCAAAAGTACTACAAACCTAAAAGGTAAGTTATTTCTAGTGATCAGTATTTTAATGTACTGAACTCTAAGACTAAAATACAGAATTAATGGTCACAATAGGGAAATATTTTTGTTATAAAGAACATGTCATCATCATCATCATAATCATCATCATTAATATAATGAGATATTATTCAGCTTGAACTTATGAGTTTGTTTTTTTTCCCTCTCATAATGGGGGTACATACTCATTGTCATTTTCCCAGGAATGCCTTTTCCCCTCTACTTCTCCAATTGAGGAACTGTGTTCTATGCAATGTCTAGCACACAAAATTGGTCAAATTCCTCTTGTCAAAACAATTTCTTTTCATATTCCATGTTCTTTAAGTTCTTGCTTTTGATTGTATTACCTTCTTAGTCTTCATCACTGCCACTCAGCTTAAAATTTCTCTTCACCATAAGTTTTGTCTTCATTCTCAATGACGGAAATGCCCAGGATGAGTAATTCAAGCAGTATTATAACCTTATTTACTGATTGCCTCATTTCTAATGACTTCTCCTATTTAATCATCCACAGGTGTGCGCAGATTGCATGATGACAAACCTTGTCATCATTTATAACCACTTTTTTTCCTAGAACTATTAATTCAAATATTCCACACAGTATTTAAGCTTCTAAAATCCTACTTACTCAACTTTATCAAGAACCACTATCATTGACTTTACTGGGACCATCACACCTGATTCCTATACATTCTCTTAAGCAAATAAGCCATTTCTTTTCATTTTCTTCTTCCAACTAGCTTAGAAACATGATCAACAACTGCTAATACCTTGAACCGTTCCCTCCTTTTAGTTAGTAAAACTTAAATTTTGAATGAAAACACTGTGAGTTCTTTGCTACCCCACTCCAGTAGCAAGAAAATACTTGAACTTCCTACCAATTAAACCCTAGTAACTACCCACCAAATGGGCCATCAAGCTTCCAGTATTATAATAAGCAAACTGGCAGCCAAGTGCTGCACCAATTAGAACAATGTTCCCCCCAAACACAACAAAACTTCCAATTTAGTTTGTGTCCCTATTATTAAATTGGTCTTTACACCAGGCCCAAAGGAGAGGAAGACCCTCAACGAGGTGGACTGTCACAACTGACACAGACTGACATGGTGAACTGTCCCAAAAGGCTCTCTAGTGAGTCAGGAAGTGTGAAGATGGCATAGGATAGGACAAGGTTTAGATCCATTGTTTATTAGGTCGCTACAAGTCGTATTCAACTCTACAGCGCCTGACAACATCAAAAAAAAACAACATGTGATAAATGGAGAAAAGTTTGAATTTTACTTGGATCCATGGCAACTAAGATGTCAAAAGACATGCTGTAATGAGAAAACTTGTTGTTAAGGACTTCTTCAAAGCACTAAGGAGCACTGATGTCACTTTAAAGACTAAAGGATGCCTAATTCTATGCATCTGAAAGTTGGACAATGATTAAGGATGCCAAAAGAAGAACCCAGGCTCTTGAACTGTGCTTAGAGAAGAGTACTGGATATCCCTTGGACTTCTAAAGAACAAACAACTCTATCTTAGAGGAAGTGTAAACAGGGTGTTCTGTAGCAGCCAGGATGGTAAAATTTCATCTCACATACTTTAGACATGTTGTCAGGAAGGGCTAGTCTTGGAAAAAGACATCATGCTGGGAAACGTGAAGGTTAAGAGAAAGAAAAAGATCTACAATAAGGAGAACTGATACAGTGACTATAATAATAGTCTTGACCTCAAGAGAGTATGAGGATGGTGTAGGATAAGGAAAGGTTCACTTAGCTTGGAATTCTGGCACCCTAGTGGTAAAAAGCTGTGCTGCAATCCCTAAGGCATATGGACTGAATAGACCAGCTGCTCCACAGAAAAAAGGTAATCTCCTCCTGTATGATTTACAGTCTCTGAAAACCTGCTGGGCGCTCAGCTACGAGTCAGTTCTGAATGGCATAGGACAACAGTCTTAGAAGATGGCACCTAACAACAACATAAAATGTTACATATGAGATATACTGTATATAAAAAACCTATTTTAACTCATACATTAGATCTAGATATAGTACCACATATAAACTTAAAAAATAACGTCTGGAAAAAAACCCACCCAACTTGTAGAATGTATACAATGTGGTACTATGAATATACAGTGTGATACTACATATAAAAAATAAAAATATACTTCAAACTACCATATACACTCAGCATAAATATGTGCTACTAATACGGTAAAAACTATTGCTGAGAACACATACCAAAAAGGAACAACTGTCTTTAAAGTGAGTAGAACTAAGAGATGGCAAAGTATTAACATCTGCAAGGCATTCAAACACATTTGTCATACTATTTGCCCTAAGTTCAAACTACTGCATTGTTAGCAATATTAGTTTTACAAAGAAAATGTCTAATTTGCCCACATAGATGGTAATTTTCATATGCATTATACTTATTCTTATTTCTGATAGGAACAAAAATCGAGAGGTGCTTAATGAGCACATAACTGAGCATATACTGCCACCTAGCAAAATTTTCTAGAACAGTTTCACAATTAAATACAGACACTTGTACTCTTCTTAGTGGTGAATCTTGATTAACCATTCAAGGCAAAAAACATCATAAAGTATATCTGATTATGACAGTTTTATAGCTTCAAAAGTACATGAAATTTTCAATACTCTTAAAATATAGCTCTGTTCTCTACACATGTAATTTTGTTCAAAAACAGTTAAACTTTTTAATGGATTTTCTTCCCAAAGTACTTTCTAGGAATAAAATATTAATAGCTTTAAACAAAGGCCTTAGGGGAGCTCTGGTGATTTTGAGGTAAGGAGATGCGCTGACAGACTGAAGGCACTCAGATCAAATTCACTAGCTGTTCCATTAGAGAAACCCGGGCAATCTCCTCATGGATGGTCAGCTACAAGTCAATTCTGGGTGGCACATAACAAGAGATTGCTTCATTTCAACCCTGATTTCACATACTTGGACCAAGAGGCAGTTGTCAGAAAAGAACAAGGAAACACTGCATGGTTCAAAATTGAAAAGGGGTACGCCAGGGATGTGTCCTATCTCCACACCTTTTCAACCTACATGCAGATCAGATTGTCCAAGAGGCTAGGCTCAATGATGAGAAGTGTGGTGTCAGGATTGGTGGAAGATCTATTAATAATCTGTGTTATGCAGATGACACAACCCTGCTTGCTGAAAATGAGGAGGACCTGAAATGCTTGCTGCAGAGGGTCAAGGACTGCAGCCTTCAGTATGGATTGAGGCTCAATGTCAAGAAGACAAAGATTGTCACCACTGGACCAACTGGCAGCATCAGGATGGATGGTGACGAGATTGAGATAGTTAACAACTTTAGTGTGCTTGGCTCCATGGTCAACACTCTTGGCACCAGCAGCCAGGAAATCAAAAAACGTATTGCGATTGGAAAGTCTGCTGTTAGGGACCTCTCCAGGATACTGAAGAGCTATGGTGTCACTCTGGAGATTGAGGTGTGTCTGATACAGGCCACGGTCTTTGCAATCACTTTTTATGCATCAGAGAGTTGGACAATGACTAGGAAGAATAGAAGGAAAATTGATGCCTTTGAGCTGTGGTGCTGGAGAAGAGTACTGAATGTACCATGGACCGCCAAGAAAACAAACAGATTCATCCTAGAGAGAGTTAAATTAGGCTGCTCCTTGGAGGCAAGGATTCTGAGGCTTCGTCTGACATACTTTGGACATGTTGTAAGGAGGTACAGGTCCTTGGAGAAGGACATCATGCTTGGGAGGGTGGAGGGACAGCGCAAGAGGGGAAGACACTCAGTGACTGAGGAAATTGGGATGGGTGTGTCAGAGGCAGTGCAACTGGCACAGAATAGAGCAGGGTTTAGGGCTGTTGTACATAGGGTCATAATGAGTCACAAGCGACTTGACGGCACATAACAACAACATCATTGAAGGGTTGCATTTTCGCCTCAGCTAGACATTAACTAGTACTTATTAATTTAAGTTGTGCTATCCGTATGTATTCACAGGACCACTATGAGCCATACGTAACTCAACAGCACCTAACAACATCATTCAGTAAGCTGGACATTATGACAAAGAATGTGGCATCATGATTGGTTTAAGCCTCATTAACAACTTGCAGTATGTAGATGACATAACCTGGCTTGCTCAAAGAGAAGATGAAGCACTTGCTACAAAAGATAAAAAACTACACTCAGGTTTCAGCCTGGAACTTACCCGTCTTTGGTCCTTTACCAAGGATTTTTCCAGTGCTGAAGCTTGACGGCAAAAAAGATAAAAAACTATAATCTTCAATATGGATTACTTCTTAAGAACTAGAAAACAAAAATCCTCACCACCAGACCAATATGCAAAAGCAAGGCAGATGAAGAAGAGATTGAAATTGTCAACAATTTCACATTACCTGGAATCACAAACACTTTTGATACCAGTAGTCAAGAAACGAACAATTAAAATCTGCAAGTAAAATTAATAATGGAAAATCTGCTATCAAGGACTTCTCCAAAGTTGTAAGGACACATGATGTCAGTTGAAAGAATAAAGTGCACCTGACCATGGTCTTTAATTGCTTATACATTTGAAAGTTGGACAATGCATAAGGGCAGAAAAAGTTTTGATGTCTTTGATGTGGTATGAAAGAAGAGTACTGAATACAACATGGAGTGCCAAGAAAATAAACAGTGACTCCAGGGTATTCACTGGACGCAAGGATAGTGAATCTCACATACTTTGGGCATGTTGTGAGAAGCAGCTAGTCTTTGAAAAAAGATGTCACACTTGGAAAGATGGAAGCTCAGCTAAAGTGAGGAAGACTTTCAACAAGATAGATTGACATTGTAACTTTAACAATAAACCCAAATATATCAGAGATTATGAGAATGACATAGGACAGGGTAGGGTACACATCTGCTGTTCACAGGGTTGCAATGGGTCATAGCGGACTCAATGGCATCAACAACGTAGGTCCACAGTAATAAATACAGGCTCAAAATACATTTTAAGCAAATAAGCAACCTGATAGGATTGAAGAATGCTCAATACCAGACTAGAGAGAGAGAATAGTAGGTATGAGTAAACAGGATACTCTTACAGTATTACTGACGGGTCTCTGAACTAGGGACTAGAATAGTCGTACTCACAGAAAAGCAGTAAAACTATCTAAAGGATACAGTGAACTTTGATCCTTTTACAGACACATTTTCTCTTTTAAAAAGAAGTTATTTTATTATTTTACTAATTTTCTGAAAGACTTTATCTTAAAAGTTTTCTCTTCCTCATATGTTGCTTTGTTATGTGCCATTGAGTCGTTTGCGACTCATAGCGACCCTATGTACATCAGCCCTAGACTCTGCTCTATCCTGTGCCAATCGAACCGTCTCCAAAACACCCATCCCGATTATCCCAGTCACTGAATCAATCCTTCTCATAGAGGGCCTTCCCCTCCTGCGCTGTCCCTCCACCCTCCCAAGCATGATATCCCTCTCTAAGGACCGGTCTCTCCTCACATGTCCAAATTATGTTAGACGGAGCCTCAGAATCCTTGCCTCCAAGGAGCCAACCGGTTTAACCCTTTCCAGGACAAATCTGTTTGTTTCCCTAGCAGTCCATGGTATTCTCAATACTCTTCTCCAGCACCACAGCTCAAAGGCATCAATTCTCCTTCTATCCTCCTTGGTCATTGTCCAACTTTCTGATGCATAACAAGTGATGCAAAGACCATGGTCTGTATCAGACTCACCTTAGTCTCCAGAGAGACACCATTGCTCTTCAGTACTTTAGAGAGGTCCCTAACCGCAGACTTTCCCATCGCAATACGTATTTTAATTTCCCAGCTACTGTTGCCAAGAGTGTTGACTGTGGAGCCAAGCAAACTAAAGCTGTGAACAATCCCAATCTCTTCACCATCCATCCTGATGCTGCCAATTGGTCCAGTGGTGAGAATCTTTGTCTTCTTGACACTGAACCTCAATCCATATTGGAGGCTACAGTCCTTGACCCTCTGCAGCAGGTGCTTCAGGTCCTCCTCAGTTTCAGCAAGCAGGGTTGTGTCACCTGCATAACACAGATTGTTGATAAACCGTCCACCAATCTTGACCCCACATTTCTCCTCATAGAGCCCAGACTCCCGGATATTCTTTCTGCATACAGGTTGAAAAGGTATGGAGATATGATGTATACCTGGTGTACGCCCTTCCCAATTTTGAACCATGCAGTGTTCCCTTGATCCATTCTGACGACTGCCTCCTGGTCCAAGTATAGGTTTTGCATTAGAACGATCAAGTGTACTGGGATTCCCATTCTTCTCAGAGTCAGCCACAGTGTGTTTCTCATATGAGATGTTTGTAATACTTGTTTTATTCAATCTGTTACACATATTTTTATTTCAGCCACCTTTTTTTTCCGGTATGTTTTTAAATGCTTATCTCCCCACTTCCCCCTTTCAGGAAGCCTCCAAGTCAAATTCCTAGGTAGATGCCCATTTCTGGGTAAACCAGAGTGCTTTCTACTCCAGACATTCTTTACCTGATCCCTTCCTTTTTTGTGTGTTATCTATTACCTACAGTATGTGTGCTGTTTATAAATGTTTTCTTCTGATGACTGAATGGACATATAGAAAGGGAAAGTACAAATTCCACACAACAAAGTTGAGTGTGCTCTGTTAAGAAGAGGGAAAAATAAAAAAAGCAGAAGAAATGGAGAACAAACAATTCAAAATGAGAAAAGTATTATAAGGGGAAAAGTAAAACAGATCTGAAGGCATGGTGTGTTATGTTTACGCTGTTAACTGGTTCAAATCTAGGAAGTACTCTCTGGAAGGAAGATGGGGTTGCAGGCAAAGACATCTCACAATCACAATAAGAGAGGACATGAAGTGGAATTAACTCCAAGCGTGTGGTTTATACAAGTTTCTAGGTCTCTAGATCCCTTGAAAAGAGACATGTTTATATTAAAATGGCTTGCACATAATTGGCACATATGCAAAAGATAATAAGCATGTAAATCCTCCTTTGCTGCACTGTTTGCATTTTATTCTCTCCTTTCTAGTTCACTTTAAGACAGTGAATGCCTTATTAATGCTTTCAAGAGTTGAAAAAATGAGAAAAAGAACCCAAGTCATTCTCCTCGAGTGGGAACCGACTCATAATTGACCCTCTAGTGGGCTTTCTGAGGTTGTAAATTGCATGGGAGATTGTTCAGCATTCCCCCTAGAAGGTGCTAGTGGAGAGAGGCAAGAAAGGCCTACTGACATAAACAAGTTATGCTAGAGGTGCGAGCAAAAGTCTGATGAGACTAGTTTTAAGAATATAAGGAACAGGGACAGGAAACAAGTATACATATCTTTCAAAGGCTTTGTTGTAAATAAGAAGCAGATAAACGAATGAACACTATAAATAACACTGCTGTTAGGGACCTCTCTAAAGTACTCAAGAGCAACGGTGTCTCTCTGGAGACGAAGGTGCACCTGATACAGGCCATGGTCTTTGC